ATCATGTCCTTGTCTTAAAACAGCTGACTATTCTGAAACATTTGACCTTTAATTACACTTCCTAATTACTTTGTCAAGTTTTATAACACAACACTGGTGCATTGTCTGGAGTTAAGTTTATAGATGCTTCACAAAAATGGCATTCTATATTAAAGTTTCTAAGTCAGGATTATGGTTTGTTTTCTTTAAAAAACTTCCCTTTAAATATAAACCTTATTTTTCATATTGTGTTAACAATTCTTACACATTGTAAACATGAAGTGACATTAATAAATACTCCTTCTTCTGTGCTGTCAGGCAGTGGATACTGAGTTAATCATGTTGTTAGTTGTTTTTGCACACTGTTGGGTCAAGGACTGTAGAAACCAGGAATGTCTGTGTCTATGCATATCATAATGCCAATTGAGGGCCCACGAGGGCCAGGGATGCTGCTCTTCTCTGACTTGAGGATCCAGGCTACCTCGGATTTCTTTTCATGCATTGGCCTCTTCTGGACTGTGTTTAATGGTGTTAAAAGCACATCTATGCTGCTTTTACACAGGTAGTCATATTTTGTGTATCTTGCTTACTTTTCCTTTCAGGCTACATTAAGAATAAATAGGTTTTATTTATACTTGTAACCCTAATATAATATACCACATGCTTATTTTAAAAGTTTGTTGAATCAACAGAGTTAAAAACATAAATACTACAAAAGGATTCTCTGAGCCTACCAATTAAAATTGTAGGTTTCAAATAATTTTACATTTATCGTGTAATATTTGATTTAAAGAGCCATATCCTACTAAGTTACTCTAAAGAAAGAAAGAAGGACCTTGCAAGATGGTTCAGCAGGTAAAGGTGCTTCCTTTGTAAGCCTGACAACTGATTTTGATTTTGGACTTAGTGCAAAAGCAGGAGAGCAGCAACTCCACAAAGTTGTCCTCTGCCTTCCATTCTTGCTTTCATGGGAATGCTCCTATATACTCATGATGATGATGGTGATTATGACAGGAATGCTCCCCACAAACTGATGATGGCAATGGTGACAGTGATGGTGGTGGTGGTGATGATGGACATATTTTTAAAAACAAGCAAATTTTTGAGACAGGTTTCATTTAGCTCAGCCTGACCTTGAATTTTCAGGGTAGCCAACATTGAATTTCTGGTCTTGCCTCTACTTCTCAAAAGCTGTCATTTTGGGTACTTGCTGCCATGCCTACCTGAAACAAGCAAATCTTGTAAACATTTTCTTGCCTGTCTTACATCTAATCTTTTCCTTATCAGGTTATAATATTTTTACTTAAAATAATATTACTATGTGTATTATGTGTGTGTCTCTCTCTCCCTGTGTATTATGTATATAATTATGTTAAGATGACCACAGTATATATGTGTGTGCTTCTGTGTGTATGTGCATGATGTGTGTATGTGTGTGCTATTCTGGACTTTGATGAATGAGGGACAGACTTCTGTTAAAATGACCCATTGTGTGTATGTGTATTTGTATGTATCTGTGAGCATGTATATGTATGTGTTCATGGTGTGTACATATCTGCATATGTATATTATGTGCATAATATGTGTATGTATGGGAGCCCACGTGCCATGGTATATGTGGAGGTTGGAATATAACTTTATGGAGTTGCTTCTTTCCTTCTACCTTTACACAAGTTCCAAGAATTGAACTCAAATGCTTTCACTCATTGACCTGTTATAATTGCTGGCCTGCTTCTAATATGTTTAAAAGTTTTATCTTTAGTGAGTGTATGTACAAGCAAGTGTCTGTGTGCATGTGTGAGTGCCTGCATGCGGGCATGCGTCCGTGTGTGTGTGTGTGTGTGTGTGTGTGCATGTGCTTGTGAGCATCTTGTGCGTGTGCACATGAATGCTAGGTGACTGAAGAGGTTAAAGAGTGTTCTGGAGCCTGTGAAGTTGGAGTTATAGTAGGTGTAAGCTGCTTGATGCAGGTGCTGGGATCAGAACTCTGGGCCCTATGGTAACACAGCAATTACTCCTGGTGCTGAGTGTGTTTCAAGCCCACCCACGCCCATTTCTAATTTTTATCAATTGAGATTTCTACATATGCAATTCACTCTTACTTTACCAGTGTTTTGGAGTGCTCTGTAAACCTGTGGAACTTATATCGACCATTTTTAGAACAGAGACAAGTCTTCAAAAATAGACTAAGAAAAACAATTGCATGAAATGTAGGACTAATATGTAGAAAAAGGAAACACTTAGACACATGACATTTTAGAAAGTACATTTGTTTGTGGGAAAATTTTCTCATTTAAAGTCAAGAAATTTAGTTTCCCTTTTAAGTTTCTGTTGCCACAAACATTTCTTTTTGCTTTTATATTGTTTCTAGGAGAATATTCTTTAATGATTTAAAAAATACAGTAAATAAAATAAACATTTTAAAAATGAGGTTTGGCATAGTGAGATATATTTAGAACCCCAGTAATTTGTTACTCAGAATACTGAGTGAGGCAGGAAGAGCTCAAGTTTCAACTTGGGCAACATATGAAATGTCTCAAAACAGAAGGAGAAAAAGAAAAAAGTGACATAGTTTAATCATAGATATTTATCAAGTTTGTTGGAACTCAGGCTTCCTTATTTATGTCTTTTGGTCCTAATGTCTTGAAAATAAGTGTGTGTTCGTTCCCCTGACCATCACCTCACCCTAACTGTACCCTGGTCTTCTGGACTTCGGAAGAATGAGGAACAGACTTCTGTTAAAATGACCACAGTGTACTTTATTTAATGATTTTGGTACCTTGTGTTGCAATAAAATAAAAAAAAATCTACAAAATCCAAATATATAAAATTTCAAGTTTTCTTTTTTTAAAGTTTTACAAGAAAAAAATCAGATAACCCAGGAAATTTATTCATTATGAAGCACTACTTCCCACTTCATGTCATCACAAATTGCAACTTACTTAACTGACCAAAATAACTATGTTACTGCAGTATAGCAAATACTCCACGCACTGTGCTCCGAGCTAGAGCACTTGGAGTCACTGCCCAGGACAGCAGCTCCCGCCAAGAAAGACACACTTACAATCTGAATGCTAAAGGAATGTCTGGATATATGGGATTGGAATATGCATATCTCTCTATATATATTTACAAAAAGAATTTAATAACTCATTTAATTCTTTTTTTCAAATAAAATTCCAAATACATTTGTACAGTGTTTACAAAGTAAGAGCACAGGGCTGGCAGGTTTGCATCTGAGGCCAGGCACCATGCTGTCCAAGGGGAATGTCTTCACGTTGCCTGCACACACCTTATTTTTGAAACGGAGAAACACAAAGGTGGCGACTGTGTATCAGAATACTATGTATGTTGAAGTTGGGGAGCTGAGAAACCAGTGGCCCATTCTCTTCAGGTTGCTTTTCATCTACCACCATTGCTTTTTTTCCAAAGATAAGTTTAAAAAGCAAAAACTAGACAGAGGAAGAAAACCACAAAATATTTAAGGCAAATAAGCAAATATATACAACCTCTCTTTGTGTTGGGTAGAAGTGAAGTTTTTTTTTAAATCCCAAACTATGCTTAGAAACAAACTAGATAAAATTCAGATGATGGAAGTTGGGTTGCTTATGCCATTAAAAATTTCTGAAAATTGTTTCCCACCAAATAACATTTTGAAAATTTCAGTGAAATAATTTGTTAATTGTGAAGTGAATGGTTTGTGTTTCTAAATCAAACAATAGTAGCTGAGGTAGTTAAATGTGAAACTTGGACAAAAAATAATGGGAGAGCAAAGAACCGATGTCAGGAGCACAAACCCTTGCAATTTGAAAGCAGGTTCACGGTTCACCCTATATAGTGGTTTTATGCACAGCAAAGTGGTTGTCCTCTTGGATGCCATTGGTTCAGCTAGAATGTCAACACGACTAATGCTTTCCCAAACTCTTGCTTGAATGCAAATACTGAGGAAGCAAGGTTCCCAGTCTTCCATTTGTAACCAGTTCTTTCACTCTATATATTAAGCCATTATACAAAATATCTGTATTTATCATTATTAGAAATTCCAATCTTAACTGTAAAAGAATGAGGGAGAATGGTTAAGAACCAAAAGGTGGGATAGTATTCTTTCACGTTAGCTCTAAATCCAGGCTACTGTTTGGCTTCAAAAAGGACAGACATCTCTGGTCTCCTGTTGACTCTCTGCCTTCTGAGAACAGAAAGTCATCTTCATATCCATTCACCCTGTCCTTTTGAGATTGCTGAGCTATCTGGCTACTGAGAAGAAAAGCAGGATTTTTTCTTTTTTCTTTTTTTCCCTCCCTCTCTTCCCTCCTTCCTCCCCTCCCTCCCTCTCTCCTCCCTTCATTCATTCCTTTGTTCCTTCCTTCCTCTCTCTCTCTCCTCCCCCTCCCTCCATCCTTCCCTCCCTCCCTTTCTTCCTTTTTAATGCAGAAGCTTTAAACTCCTCATCCATTGTGTCTCATTGATCACAGAAGGGCTTTAATGAGGCTTAAACAAACAACTGACCAAAGGGTTTATGGAAAAAGTGCTGTGAAGGTAATATATTAGTGATCTAATTGACATAAATAAGCTGGGAGATAATTCTTTGAAGCAGTAGGGAATTTATCTCTGTGTGTCCATGTTTACTACTTGTTTATTGAAAAGAATGCTAACCAGATGTAGCCATAAACCTTGACAGTTGTAGTTACAAAAATGCAGTTACGTGATGCTTAGTGCATGATGGGCCTATAGCTGAATAATCACATACTTCTGTGCTAACGGACGTGTTGTTGGCACTTGTGCTTTTCTCTGCTGGTAAAAACTCTTAAGCCATTACTTCAAGAGGCTGTCTGGCTCTCACAGACTTAGATTCTATGTTGCTCTGTGTGACAAAAATCTCTCCATAGCATGTTCTCTTCACTGCCTCCTGCTAGTTCTAGCAAACCCACCCGAAGCTAGACTGAATAGTCAACTTTAGTTTTCTGTATAAAACTGAATAAATACAGACGTTTATTTTCATGATAAAAAGGACACACTTTGAATTTGTGTAGAAAAATATTGATATTGGAGGGGATAGAAATTGAGGAATATCCAAATTACTTTTACTCATGCATTGTACTTACATGATCATTCTATGGTAACAGTCTATTCTGGCGGTACAGATACTTTTAAGGTGTTACACAATTTTCTATGTTAAAGTCATACTTCAGAAAGCCTAATGTCATGTATTAGAAATGTTTAACCAATTTAGAAATTTAAATATTTGATTAAGTCCATTGGAAAACAAAATTTAGAGTTCAAAAAGATTATACTGGATATCAATATAGTATATAATCAAGCACATTGTGATTTTGAATTCACTCATCAAGGGAAAATTTGGAAACTATTTTAATTTTTAAGACTATAAAATTTATTTTGTAAGTGAATATAATTGTTAAACAAGGGTACTGAATAGATCACATCATAAAAATATTACCCCTATTTCTAGAATAGTTCCACAGGTGTATTATTACTTCATAATATCACAACTATGATTCAATAATTACAAATGTTTATAACACCAAATCATATTATTTGCACTTAGTTCTGGTTAAGTTTAGTAACTTAAGCAAGGGGATATACATTGCTTTGGCGGAGTTGTACAGGATTTTCACTCAGGCTGTTTTTCCTACCATTTTCCTGCCTTTTTAAACCTTTCATGGAACTAACTTTAGTGTATCACATTTATGCAAATCCATGCACTTCCCTATATTGCTGAAGTCATTGTATAAGCACTTCTCTGAAATGTTTGAAATATATTTATAATGTGGTGAAGACAAATCAACTCAAGAGTTCTAAGCAGTAAGAAGATTTCACAGTCTTCCATTGCAAAGGTGTTGTGTTAGGAATGAAATGTGAACCAAGTTAAATGATTCCAAATCCAATCTTAATACTATCTTTATCCAGGAATGGATTCTAGAATATCAGTTGGCATCACCAGTACTGAACTGGTTCTGGAAAATGGGGGCAGTCATGAAAACTCTAACAAAGGGCCAGATTTTCCAGATGTGTTTAGTACAATTCATGTTGATTAAGAAGAAAGTGGCCCATCTATGTGGAAACTCTGTGTCTATATGAGGGATTACTTGTTTTCATTAAAAACTTACTATTTATACCTAGACCTTTAATGGAAAAGTTTCCCATATAAACTGGAACAGCTGCTGCTCCTCAGACAACTGTGGCACCCACCCTTCTTACCCCTGTGATGCACACAGTTCTCTGTGTTTTTGCAACTTAGCAAGAGGCATGGTGCTCTCTAGCCTCACGTTCTTTACAACACCCTATGAGGTAGGTAAACAAATATCCTCACTCTTTTACATGGGGTCAATGAGGCCAAAAAAGTTTTGAGGTAAAGAGATAGAGTAGGGATTAGGACCCAGGTGTCTACAGATTCCTGGTTTCTTTACTACTGTCACTGGACCACATACCCTCATGCCACCATACCCAGAATGGAATATATTCCATAATATAAATGGATATTGTTTCACATAGTATCTTTAAACATGTTTAAAACAATCATAATATTCAACACAGGGATTTCTGCTTTTCTATTAATCTATAAATTTCATATCAATCACCTTTATTGAAGGTCATAGATGAAAGAACTTTTCTGTGTGTCATTGCCAATCACTGGCCACCTTTTGTTGCAATATCAGCCAAACATCAGAGATTGATGATTTAAAATCCCAAGGAAAAAGGGAAAGGCAAAACCTTAGAGGGTGGACAAATGTGGCTTAGTTGTGAGGTTCAGGTGTCAAGGGAAACTACATCTAAGAAAAGGAGAGACAAGAGGAATTTTATCATCTGCTTCATGATGTTATTCTTGGTTCTGAATGTAGAATTTCACACAATCAAAATGCTACCTGGGTCCTTGGGAACGTTTGCACTGTCTTTGGAAACCCCTCAAGATGTTTGTATAGCTCAATGCCTCTCCAAGATCTTAGTTCACCTACAGTAAGTGCTTCAGAGCAAGATGTGGTGCTGAAGTGCTCTTAAAGGGAAATAGGTTGGACAGCTTGTGTGTTTTTCTGCCAAACTTCAGATCAGCCAGTGAGGCAATCATTTGACTGAGGATATCCATATCTTCATCACCCAGCATATCAGAAGGGGCAGGATCAACTTCCTAAGGCTACCAGGAAGAAAGAGATCTGGGCCAGTGTGGCATCCTCAGTCCACCTTCTGGAAGGCAGGTTTCCTTCAAGGTCAACACTTCTTTTTCCCCTCATGAAGAAATGTGGCAGGGATTAACTGGGGGAATACTAATATTACAATATTCACAGTAATCAGCAAGCACTTGTTAACTAGAATGACATCAGCAAACCAAATCCCAAAGCTAGATAATTAGTTTGATCTGGGGAAACAGACCTTTTCGTCCAACTGCAGCCATAAAATTCACCATGAAGTAATTGCATCAAACAATTTAAACAGTTTTAACTTTAAGTTTATAAGGGACACTTAAAATGAAAAGTTCTATTTGAACAATAAAAAGATAGAGATTTTATATTTCCCTTAAATCATTTTGCCCAATAGATTTTGAAAATGTTGAAGATTTACAAACAGCAAAATAGCAATGATAAAATTCTGAAACAGTGAAGGCTAAAAGAAGTTTTCTTGCCCAGAAAAGCCAGTGAAGGGCCTCTAAGAACTGCCACTTTAAAGAGGTCCTCATGCAGTTATGTTTAGCATACCTGAGACACAGCCATCCAACATCTTACACTCATGCATTTTCAGAAGGAAATAGAAATAGACTGCAGTTGCTCTGCACTATTTATTTCTCTTTGTATAACAAAGAGAATTGTTAGCAGCAGAATGTCACCATCAAAAAGTTACTGCACAAGAAAGTCAAGTTCCACCTGCAACACCTGAGCAGTTTGTCTCTCTACACCAGACAACAGGATTGAAAACAGTATGCTTAAACACCTGATCTCTCGCAGAGAGTTTCCTGATGTGTGCTATCACAAAACCACATGTGCTCCTTGAATGATTGACTTCTTGATTTTTCATAGGGATGTTTGCATTCATGTGAACAGTCTTTTACTTTTTAATAATGCTTCAGTATCTACTTTGGTTTGGTGAAAATTATTCAGCAATCATCTGGAAAATTCAAATGGTGAAAGCTGATAAATAAAAAGAAACTCAGTCATGAGGAAAAGTCAGGACTTTGGGGTGATCAACAGTCTAATGTTTTTTCCTGTGGGAAAATTGCACGGCTATCTTCTTGTTTTCTTCTATTGTTCTGAAAATTACTCACACAGGACTTATGAATCGTAGAGTGGGTACACAGATAAGATGACTGACTGATAGAATCAAGATCCAAACCGTGTTGCAAGAAAGATGATACTAGCTAAACTGAGCTGAGTGCGTTTGAACACAGACCTGTTGTGACTGATATATTTACAATGGGATGATGAGTAAGGCCATGGTAACCCTGAATCTCATTGTTATTAAAAGAGTGATACTTAAATAGCTTATGTTTAATAAGTAAGAGGGATTTGCAATCTCTTGTTTTATAATCCACCAGAAGCTCTTGATGGACAGACATTACAGGACCACTAATCAAGGAGAACCATCAGAGGGAAGGTTTTCCTAGAAAGAGCCACTCAATATGAAGCTTCCTGCATGACCTCTATCTTTCCATATTAACCAGGCCTTGTCCCTTCATAAAAGGATATGTACATAGCCATAATTATGGAATGGCAGAGATATTTTATGTGTCTACGATGTAAAAACGTGAGTGTTCCTGACAAGTGATAGACAGGTTTTCTTGGGCCTCTACATTAGTAGAAATCTTCTGTCCTGGTACTCAACACTCCTATGGTCACACTTACTCCTGAACCTTGTTAGAGAGGACTGTTACTGTTTCTATGTCCCTGCAGTTAACCAACTCATGATACATTACACAGGAGGGTGTAGGTCAGAAAATGAACATTTTTCAGCTTGTTAGTTCTCGTTGTCTGGCATGTGAGGGTAAGCCACAAGGGAGGAGGCTACCTTTCTACCATTCTTTCTACTTGTAGTGGTTATACCCAGAGGTTGCTCTGGTACATGGCTTGCCTGGGCACCAGTGTGGATTCCCAGAAGTACACTCATAAGCTCTGGGAATGTCCTCATAGAGCAACTGAGATGCTTGTGTGGGGACATGGTGATCCCTGCTCCATCTTCTTCTCCTTCCAGAGTGCTTATTGGACACACTTGTTGACTTTCACCCTTTTATCTAGATCTGACTTCTAAAACTGATGCCAAAAGTGTAGATATAAATTTAACAGGGTCACACGCACATCAGACTCTTACATACTTTGTAATTATATCTGAACTCTGACAACTTCACTTTCACCTTTATTTGGAGAGAAATGGAAGGAATCATGATTGTAAATTCTCAGTCCACCTGTTTTCTTATAATAAAAATGTAGGCATTAAGGCCATTTGGTTGGTCATCTTTAAGGTCATAACAAGATTTTATGTGATCTGAGAAGCCATAGGCTAGTTGATTCCTTGTTGAAATGGGTTTTGGTTTGGGACTGGTAATGTTACCACTTAGGAAGGCAGGCATCAAATCACTCTATAACTACACCTTTAAGTTAAAACTGCAGATTTAACCTCTGAAATTGAATTATCAATGAAAACATTACACATTGGTTATTATCATGCTGACAATGGAACAAATCAAAAGCGGCGATGGTACTCAAGATAGATCAGTTATTAAAAGATGACAGACTCTTTCCATATCCAAACAAGTGGGCTTCAATCCACTTGAAGCAAGTCCCTTTGACCCATACCCATTTCTCTGAGCTATACAAGCCCCCAGGAAGTCACTGACTGTTTTTTTTAAACAGTTCTTACTAGAGAAAATAAAGAAAGAGGATGATAACATGGACACTGATGGCATTTGTGTCGAGGGACCAGGTAGCACAATTTCCTTAGCTCTACTTCTCAGAGGTCTGTTTCTTCAGGCTTGCATACATCGGGCCACAGCACTGAACCAAGTGTTCCTTTTCCATGAACTGATTCATGTTCTGTTCCAGTAGCTTGATTACAATATTACAAGTCAAGAATTTGCAAGATTAAAGTGTCTGTTGGATTAATTAACTGCAACGCATCTCCAGTAAAACTTGACAAGTTCCAAGGTACTTCTGTAAAAAAAGAAAGGGACCAAAGCATGAGTACTCTGAGCAGTGGGACAGCTTGGGCCTTGTCTGCAGGCCCTGACCCATTCCACTCCTCTGTTCTCTTTACAGATCTCTGCTTCTAAGTCAGACCAAGGGAATGTTTTCCCCCAAGTCTTTCCGACCAACTTTGGAGATCTATTCCCTTATTATGCACAACACATTTGAAGGGTTTTAATGGAATTTGAGTATTATAGTGTTTAGAAAGCAAGTTCTAAAATGACAATTCTTCACCAGCCAGCTAGTATCCTTTAGTTACAGGGCAGTGACCTGTTTTTCCTGTTTTTGAGTAGAATAAAAAATCATGGGTGCTCTACAGAAAACCACTAGTCAATATTTAATTGCTGTGTGAACTGCATGGCGCTCAATACACTCAAGTCAAATGCTGGCTTTCCAACCATAGTGGATTGCAGTGTTAGTGTGCATTAAGACATGTTGTTGTTTTGTAATAAAAACAGGATTTTTTTTTACAGTGATGGAAACTCAAGACATATTTTCAGCACACTTAGGGGCATCTTAGAACTTACTGATAATGAACTAATTTGAAATAAATAAAAGTGTTGATTGGATACAACTCCATGCCAGAATGCCACTACAATTGTTAAATTAAATTAGCTTAAACACAACATCTCCATTTGTTCCTATTTGCAACACTTGAAGTAAGAATTTGATTAATTCCATTTTAATGCAAATTAAGCAGCAGAGAAAGGAAAGGGCAACCGGTTTAATTTGGTAGATAGAAGTATAATAAAAACACAAACCTCATATTTTCTGATACTAATAACAGAGTAGGTGGCAGGTTTCAGTAATAGCACAAAAGAAAATTTTGTGTTATACTATGCTACTAATATTTGCTTCTTATTGTAATTAATTAATTTGATGTTAAGTGAGATCTTTGTTCTGCAAACATCTCATCAGTAACTATATGCTTCTATTGTGTGTCTAAATGTCTAAAAAGTAATAATCCGGAACTGAATGTAATGATGGTGGTTTGAATCTCCGTGGTCAGGATATAGCATTACTGTTCCCTTTTTTCCCTTATTAGTACTGGCGTAGGATCACATTTATGTTGTTGTCTCATGTCTGTCACTGAGTGCCAATTGCTTATTGGTAGAATTATAAGAAAATCCTAGAAAAGTTTATACTTCTTTACTGTTTTAATATAGGATTAAGGTCTGATGTGATAAGAGAAATGTCAGTGTGCTGCAGTAGAAAAGGTTGGGAGATGAAGTCTAGAACCAGCTAAGCATCTAAGAACTCCCTTTGAGTTGCTAGGATGCATGGCTGTTTTGTACCTGCTTATGATCTAGTGGCTGCAGCACAAGGGTCAGGCTTGCTGAATAAATGACCAAGGGAATCAATCAGGGTCAATCATGTGACACTGATTACAAAACTCTATAAAATAATGCGGATTCCTTTTATTATTCTATTAAAATTACTGACCTCTGACTTACCGTAATTTCTCTGAGACCTGCTTAACTTAAAGTACTGTAGTAAGATGCTGCTTTGAATTTGCAATAGAAACTGAACATTGGGAGGATTACAAATCCAGCAGCAGATTTGGGAAACTGGTTTATTATTTGCTACTTTTTAAGCATCTGTTCAAGCAACACACACAGTTCCTATGTAATGCATGTTTCTATGCACTGGCGTCAAGGGGTGGGCTAGCACTCTTCCTCCTATTTCACTGTCTTTAAACTAAGAGGGTAAAGAATATGCCAGATGCTTTAGAATTCAGTAAATATTTGATGAACACTTGGTATATTCTTTGAATCTAATTCTTCAATTTAAGATAACATTTCTAGATTAGTGCTAATGCTTTAAAAATTCTCTTCAACCTTCGTGACATAAGACATTAAACAGAATTTAGCAAAAAATAAGGCAATGGAAATGAATTACCTTATAGTATTAAGATGATGTTGTCTCAAACTATCTGTTTCACTAAGTAGCTTTGAAAAGTTATATTTCATTCTGCTTAATTGGTTAATAATGTGAGACACAGAGTACAAGGAAAGAAGTCTCAGGTTACTTTATATTTCAGATTTAATCTAGTGCAGAGTGGGGTCATGGAGTGGGGACAACTACCTAAATGGAAAACAACACTGATCCTCACACAATATTCAAGTTCTTTTGATAGAGACCTTCATTTCTCACCATAGACAGTTCTTTTAGATTTTCATTTTGGTAGACATACTTGAGTTTTATGAAATGTTCCTGGAAAAAATAGGGACATGATCTGGTTTTCCATTTGACTTGCTGTATCACAAGTAGGCTTGGTGGGGTTGCCACAATTCTTGGAAATCTTTCAGGTAGTAGAAGCTGGGCCTAAGTTTTATTTCCATGTTTCCCTAGCCTGGCTATGCTGCCTTTGACAAGCTGCTTACCATCTCTGGGCTGAAGCTGTGTCATGGGAAAGTGATGTCACTCACTGGTGGTTGTGAGGAGTAAGTGGGATCTCAGAGGTGAGTGTTTTCAGCACAGTGTTAGCAATGTTGTAAATTCTTAATAATGATACTCTATCTGACATGGGAATCAGACAGCAAGGAAATCTACAGGCAAACAAAATAACCAAAGCAACATTCCATGTTTGTGTTATGTCATTATAATGTGCAAACATTTTTAACCAAATGATTAGGCAAGTCAGAGACATCCAGCATCCTTGAGTGGCAAACCTTAGGACACCCAGTTTACTAAGTTTTGTGTTTCTTGGCAGGATTACTGCATGCAATACAATAAGAGTCTAATCATTGCTTCCTCATGGAATCTATGGAAGAGTTCAGGTAGATGGTGAGGTTATCTGATGCCTTGACCACTCTTCAGAGAGTTTCTGAGCCGTCATTTCTGTGGGCACATGGCTGCTTGCCACTTCCTGCATTTGGCTCTCTGCTATGGTAGATGCTTTTGATCTAGCCTAATTGCTACAATTAGCAAAATTAAATGACTCATTACATTTTATCCAATTCCACCCACATGCTGCAGTTTTCCTTCCAAATGGGTAATGATCCTGTTGAGGCTGTCCATCGCAAGAAAGTACCCTGAGTCTAGCATGGGCCTACTTTCAGGGCAGCAACTGGACAAGCCCTGTTGGCAGATGTTTGTCATTACCTGATGCTATAGGTGCCTGAAAGAGGAGAAGGGATGTGACCTAATGTTTAGGTCACCTCCCATCTGGATATAGGTTGGGGAAAGAGATTCAGAAATGGGAACTAAAGTGAAATCACCCATTCCTAGTCACATAGAAACATTGAATGTTGGGCAGCAGAGGGCTGGCAAAAGCATCAACTTTGACTGTTTGCAAAAGTGACACTGATTAACTAGTCAAAGGAAGGGGAAATGATCTGTATCCATTACTAAAATTATAACAAGGTCCATCTCAGTCCTGCTGTGTTGTCAGCTTCTGCCTTCCCCATTCTCCCAAAGTCAGCTTCTGAATGACAGTTGGGCCTATTTTAAAAGAGGGTTTAAGGAATTCTCCTTGGAAACATAAAAATGCAGGCATCTAATCCAAGCTGTATATAGAAACAGTCATGGCTAATGGCAAAGATATGTGGTGAATGCAAGGGAGCATATATTTAGTCTAGAAATTGGTTCATTAGAAAAAACTCTCTGGATTCTTGTCTAAACATTGTGTCAGAACTTGCTTCCACCTGGTAGCATCTGGTACATTTGAAAGTGACTGTATCACCTTACTTAGCACTGTGTGGACATAAGAGTTTTCATTTGCTTAATACAATGTGCTCCAGGATCTTTGAAGTAACACAAAACTACTTTACTAAGTCACTTAAAAATGAGATGCTTAAGGAAGATAAAGTTCACTCAAACCAAGAAGCATGTCTTATAGGCCTGGACTGTAAGGACAGTTGATTTTTAAAAAAGCATGGAGGGTTCTTGTCTAAAAAGTCACATGTCAATAACATATCACTTCCTATGTATTAAAGAACAGAATGTACTTTAATCTTGTCATCTATATGTTAGCAACACACCTATAAGTGATATATCAAAAAGTCATGGAGATTAAGTTCTTCCCATGAATTTCTAAATTTGTGTGTGTATACTAATATGAGTATCTATCTGTTCTTCTGTCTTTGTCTGTGTATATATCATGTATGTGCTGAAGGGCATATGTGTCATGGTGGGTATGTGGAGGTCAAAGGACAACTTTGTAGAGTTGGTTCTCTCCTTTCAATATTACAACATTCAGGGTTCAAACTCAGGTCAGGTTTGCATCTCTGTGCAGTGAGTAGCTTTGTTACTGAGCCATCTTATATACACATACCCCCAAGCAATCCATCAATCTATTCTTTCTTTCTGTCTATTTATCTCTATATCTATCATCTATCTCCTATCTATCTATCTATCTATCTATCTATCTATCTATCTAACTATCATCTATCTAATGTATATGTGTGTGGGCAATCACATCCCATTAGATGTATTTGAAAGTCAGGGGGCAGCTTGATTGAGTTAGTTTTCCCTTCTATCATGTGGGTTCAGGGTGGTCTGAATTCATGCTATCAGGATTAGTAGCACCTTGGCCTGAAAAACCATATTGTCAGCCCACATCACTTCACTTATACACCAAGTAATCTTTGTGCTTGGGGATTCACTATTTTACATTTATCCTCAGATTATGGTTATCTTTGGATAATCTTTGTAATTTGTCTGTTGCTAACACTTGAGTTAGAGAATCTTAAACTCTTGGTAAGGGGTTTTATTTCATCTTTTGAGTTAACAGTTTTCATTACAAATGAATTGTCATGGATATCTGAAAAGGCAGTTAAGACACAGTTAAGCATGATAATATACGTATATAGGGAATGTAAAGGACATAATTTCTTGGGAAGCAGACTTTGATAAGCATGGAAAACTGCTTTTCACTCACACAAAGGAAGTCTCAGCATAGCTCAGATGTATGTATGTGTGTTCTTTAAGTATATATTAATTCAGAAATGCTAATTAGGGAGATTTTGATCTCTTTAGAAAACATCACCATCCCATGGAAACAACGACTACCATAAGATAGTAAGATCATCCTTTAAAATGAATCAAAGCAGATTCAGACCCTGGCATTCTCAGCCCAAGACAGAGTCTTGCTTTCTCATTTGGATGCTAGCCATTGCTCACCCTTTTTGACTATTTTTTAGCTGCTCTGTGCAGAGCTTCATGTCAGATGAAAATAAAATTTTAGGAGAATTAAATTTGTTCATTTGGGCATTGATGATGCCTCATTGACTCCTGCCTCCTAACTCTGGAGTCTGTGTTTATGTTCTACATCAGTCTGATGACAGCATGTCCTTCCTGAACCAGCAGAGCAAGACTAAGTTCTGCCGGAGCGATAATATGATTGCTGCTTGCTTTTCTTACATTCAAGAGTCACACCTGGAACATGGTAGATAGCTTGTTTCCTTAACAAGAATTCATCTTTCATTGAAACATCATGATCTCTGCATAAGTCAGATCCAAGAACATTTGCAGTATTTTGGAAAGTTTTGGAAATTCAAGCTTTTTACATCTGTCTGACTAATTATATTACTATCAAGACAAAGCACAGCATATTATCTTCTATATATACCTCAGCTGTTTTAACCCTTTACATGTTACATGCGAGATCAAGTTGAGAAGTAACTTAAAACTTACATGATCAAAGAGTGGATGCTCCTGTTGTCTTGTTTGGCTGGACACTATTCCGACGTTAACTGTTATTCACTCACAGAGTCAAAGCTGCAGACCACCTGAGAACGGCAGTCTCCGAAGCTCATCAGTGAAAAGTTGTCTTGGAACTAATGAAGTTAATAACTCATGGTTCTGCACACCAATGAAGTATCTGCACAAATTAGTGTGATTTCCTTCTACACTGGAATGAGGTGTGTTCACCATTTGCTGAGTGTCTTCCTGAAGCTTTACTGGCAGCAAGGTAGTATTTCTTCATTCCAACAAAAGACCAGTTAGTGTATCATAGTGGAAATCTTGCTTGAAGGATCAAATCATTGAGTATTAGGAAATATGTCTGGTAAAAATTGTCTTAAAAAATTGCTTTGGGGCTTTGTACCAAAAGATGTCCTAGGTTGAGCCCTCTGTCCCTTCCTGTGGATGTCATGTTGGGGACCACAGTCCTTCGATGACATATCCATTATTGGTGGTGGCTCTAGAACTTGACTATTATAAGTGAATATAAATGAAGCTGACTTTCTTTCTTCTTTTTTTGTGACTTGATGAATCTTTAATATATTGGCTGGGTTAGTATAAAACCAGGGAAGGAAGTTTAAGACATCTTCCACTGTGGTCAGGTTGTTCTAATGGATGGATGAAAGAAATCACTTACATCTTTGATTTCCTGGGAGACAGTGATCAGTCTTCACAAGCCCTTTCTAGTTAGGCTACTTCCCTCTTCACTTGATGCTCAGATAGCACCCTGGTCAGGTTCCTGGGCCATCAAATTGCAAAAAGGAAGGTAATCTCATCGAGGACAAGTGTTTTCATTCTGCTGAGGCAGGCTGATGGATTTGTAGACTGAATTCTAATGTCCCAAGTGAATATGACATTTAATGTATTTTAAATAATTCCAAGTCTATAAAAAAAGCAACAATGCCTATATGTACACCCTATATTTTTATTACAAAAATATTGAAATAATCCATGAGTTATTCCACTCTGCACCAACTATAAAAAAATACTATCAAAGTTTGACCGGCACTTTTAATGCAACAAAAAGCACCATGACCAAGGACGCTGAGAACAGAAAGCGGGAATGTTTACTTGCTTTATGGAGGTATTAAAACTCAGAAACTTGTGGTAAGAGCGTGACTTCACAGATGATTTGAATACAAATGTTAGCTGATGGTGTCGTGTGCCCTCAAGCAGTTCAGGCAGTTTTCTTACAGCATACACACTACATCTGTATGCTTACCCTTGCTAAAAGGTGTCCCAAAGTCCCTAGGAGACACATCATGTTGACCTTGAATGGGAAGGGATAAGTCTGTACACAGTGGATAACCTGGTTATTCTTTTCTTGTCTGCTTTGGGATACCACTTATTCTCTGTTTGGGGGGAATTCCATATCAGTTCTGTGATTGGACAAAGTTTGGCACTAGAAAGATGTGGCATGTGGTTTCCAGAATCACACCTGCTTACCATGCTCATTCTGCACCTGGAAACAGGCCCTCCCTCTCTTGTGGCTCTGTGGGTGCATTCCAAAATGAACTGCACACACCTGAGAATCTCACTCTTATTTTGTCGCTCCCCCAACTACTCTTTGCATATAGATTGTATTTTTGCAATTGAATACTGAATCATGAGTATCATTTAATTTACATCACGGACATTGAGCTCCTTGGTCTCATCCAAAGCCATACATGTGCTGCATAGGATTTCTGTCATAAAGAATGTTTGCAACTGCAAAAACCTAAGGTAAAAACAAATCCTGAAATGAGTAGAAAAAGAATCATTCAATCAACACTAGTACATGTGTAAACACTTGAGTTTGCTGTCCACGGTGCAGGCTCTGCCACATATGCTACTTGCTTCCAAATTAGAAAATGGTTTGTGAAATCTTTCTAAGCAAGGTTGCTTTCTTCCTGGAGTCTGCTGTGAGCTTTGCATCAAGGAAATCACCTAAGATATTTTTTTGAGATTTATTTTATTTCATGTGTATGGGTGTTTGCCTGCATATATGTCTGTGCACCATGTGTGTGCAGTGCCTGAGGAGGCCAAAAGTGGGCATTGGACCTACTGCAACTGGAGTTGCAGGCAGTTGTAGCCACCAAGTGAGTGCTGGGTCCTTTGGAAGAGCAGTCAGTGCTCCTAACTACCGGGCCATCTTCCTAGCCCCACCTCAGCTCTTTCAATAGAGGGCGGTGGTGGTAGTGGTAGTGGTGGTGGTATGTGTATGTGAACATATTTATGCACAAATCAGAAAACGCCATCAAAATACCTTAATGATGAGAGGCAACATTTTTTTTTCATAATAATGGTGCCCTTCTGTGAATGTGCTCCAAGCCTGTGCTGGAGGAGTTTGGTAACAACAGTCATACTAGGCTGGCATTACCCCTTTAGGTGGACTAAGAGACGCTCAGCACTGCTGGCTTGAATGGACACCAGCAGCAGGTAGTCAGCTAATGGAAGATCAAACCATACCATGACAATGTTTGCACTAAGAACATATAGCTCATTGCCCTACTCTTAGATGAAGTGTCATTATTGCCACAGCCCTGTTGTCATCTCTTCATGGGGACGTTGTGGCTTCTTCTGTTTTATAAAGTGGTTTCATACTCCAGCCTCTCTTGAATAAGAGCATCGTCTTTGTACTGCAGCCTCGGAGGAGACGGGGAACATTCAAAGGCTAAAATAGCCTTTCTCAGGCTTCGGTCCAACACATGTCTCTCCCACGCTGGGTACCTATTCCTGAACAGGTCAATTTTAATGACTGATTCTTCAATCCGTGGTGGTCGAGATGATGGGGTGGGTGGTGCGGTTGGTCTCACCTGAAACACAGGGACACATCCATCCCTCTCTGTAAATTTCTGATCGCGGTCACTGGCAACACTGCGGTTGTTGGAGATGGACCGTAGTGTGCTCGTGGCCACTTCTGGAGGCAGCGAGAAGGCAGTAGCAGGGTCATCACAAGCACAACTTGGTGACTGCCCAAATCTGGGCCCATTGGGATGGAAGAAGGCATAGTACATGAGCATAAAAACAACGCCTGTTAAAAAACTGCTGAAAACCACACACAGCGCCGGGATGGCAAATGCATCTGCAATCTGGGGAGCTTTGTAGAGGTACCAGAGTGCACTCAAGGCTGTGTTTTCCAAAAGGATTACAAAATAGTAAATGAACAGCCTGCAGCGTGTCCTGCCTTCCTTGACATTGAACCAACTGAAGATGTAGATGATGCCCACCACCATGTCAAACACAATCTCTTCCCATTTGGTGATACAGAATTCTGTCTCACAGTGAACAATCCAGAAGGTCATGATGCACCAGTGGAGGACAATGAATATCCCAAAATATAGCTGGAAAACTGAAGCGAAGAGGGCGAACGTGATGACTCTGGCGGCGATGGTGAAGAAGTGCCAACAGAACTGGATGATGACGGCCATGTAGCCAATGGGTTTTTTGTCATCTCGGGAGTCCCGAAGAGCCTTCTGGTAGGAGGCTAGGGCCCACGCCAAGGACACAAGGGAGGCTGCTGCTGTAAAACCTACAAAGGCAAACAGGAAGACATCTGTCAAAAGTGAGAGACAGTGATTGTAGGGATGCAGGCATTATGTTGGCCTGCTCCTGTTACCTGGCAGAATGCACTCAAGTGGTATCCTGGTCAACCCAGAGTTCCATGATTGTGTAGTCTTCACGCAGGTGCAAAGAACCCCTTTAAAAGAAAAACTCTGCCCACTCTCTTTCCCGGTTCTCTTTCCTCTCTCTCTTCCTCAAGGTTTCCCTGGGGAAGACAGGATTTTTCCCTGTCTCCCTCTTCTCTTCTGTCCTCTCTATGTCTCTTTATCTCTTCTCTCTTTCCTTCCCTCTCCCTCCCCTTTCTAATAAAACCTCACTTAAGCTCTGTCTGCTTGGTGCATTTGTCCCCCACCATGGTCACCCTTGCCTGCCATGGAATTCGCCATGATCTGCCACTCAAGGATACTCTCAAGCTTTATCATCACAGTGATGGTAAAGGAAGTCAAGTCATATGGGTCTGGTGGGTTGGGGCAGGCTAGCTAGACCTCATCAGAGGCGATGAATGTCTGAGTTAAAACTCAGACACTGGACCAGACAACCAGATGGAAGTCCTAAAACTGTCCTCTGTGAAGTGACAAAATTCTGAAAAGGCCTGAGTTAATGGGACCACAAATCCAGCACAAGGTCTGGGAAATAATGGTGGGACTAGCTTTCAGTAAGGGAAAACTGCCATGTGCTGTTGCTTCAACTTAAAAAAGTGTTGCCTTCATATGTGACTGTTTGCTTTTGAAACCAGTGTCCTTTTTTAAAAGTGCTAATCTCATCAGCTTAGAGAGTCTTTCAGTATTTAAAAGGGACAGACCTAAGAAAAAAAACCAGACCGACTAGTAGCTGAACAAGAATGATGGAACTCATTTCCAAAGGCAGCTCACTCCTTCTTTATGCTAAAGATGAGAGTCCGTGGAACAAGTTTGCTCTTATTTCTTGTGACACCTGGTGTGTGAACCATTCCTCTAAATGTCATCCAGTATTTTCCCTGCAGATTTTGTACCTGCTTACTGCCTTACTCTTGAAGGAAGAAATGTCTGCTCACTTTCATATACTCTTTGCTTTTCATAAATTAAAAATTGTACAGAAATCACTTTAGTGATTTTATCTTCAGCTCTACTTGGCTAGTATTCTCTCAGAAAGCAAGATCTTTCCATTGATTTCCTACATTCTGGCTCTGTTCACTGTGTCTCTAAGTTCATGTGTATGATACAGATGTGGATACTATTAACCTTAAAACACCAAGGTTCCCAGGAGAGACCTCTTTTGGAGAATCGTGTTTTGTCAACCTATGTTGCAGCTGACTTGCTTTGGGAGCACTGACAGAATTTTCCAAGACTAAGAAGGCCTCATGGCTTGTAAAGTTCAGCTGACTTCTCCATTGCCAGTCTGTCACTAATCATAGATGGGCTGCACCATAGTTTTTCTTCTTCTTTGGGAGCAATGGAGGGTACATGGAATTGGTACCTTTCTTTAAAAAGTACTTTTTTGAAGAAACCTTACTCTCTCCTACTCATATCAAATGAATTTTAAAGAAGTTATAATGGAAAGGAGTAAAACTGATTGGAAATAAAACACTTCTTACCAATCATCTTTGAATGTTCCCAAATATTTACAAAATAGTTCCCAGCAGTCACTTCTCAGCCTCCCTGCAGTTCATCAAACGGAAAACCTGTTCATTTTTGTGAGCACTGGGACCTTCAATTTTTTCCTAGCCAGCATACTAATTGCTAGAAGTATTACTCAGCTATGAATGGTCAGATATCACCACACAAATGAGTTTATGATAATTCCATTCCTGCACATTGGAAAATATCAATTACAGAAAAGTCAGGAATGAAAAGAGAAGGAAGAGTAAAAACAAACAAACAAAAAAAACAGAGGAAATGAGTGGATCGGAAACAGGTGACAAGGTCATATATGTGACCAACGTATTTATGATGAATTTGTGATCAAATAACAACGATTTTGCCATTTGAATCTTAACATCTGCTCCACAAAGCCTAGGAGCTGCTCATTTTCTCTTTTCATCAGTACCATTTGCAAAACTACAGCCTGCATGACCCCTTTTCTGAGATGGCCCCACATAGGCTGACCCCAAGCTCCAATCCCCCTGCCTCATCCTTGAGCAGTGGGGTGACCGTGTGCTGCAGGCAGCCTCTTGAACAGATTGTACTCTGTTTTTAAGGTCGCTCCTGGGCTGTTGCTGTGCTAAGAGGCCTCTTCTCTTGTCTCACACTAGCTTCCTTCAGCAAGTGCTCCAGGATAGAACACTTGGGAAAGACAGTGACTTATGGGCAGGAAGTTGTAACCCAAGTCTGTTTTCTAGCACTGTGAAGTATGTTGAACATCCTTAATCCAAAAGGTGTGCTTACATGACGTTCCCTACCAGGCCTCATGGGATGGGTCACTATCAAAATGCAGTCACACTAAAAATACTGGGTAAGGTGACTTTTAGAGCATGTGTGCAAGGTACATATGAAACAAAAGAATTCTTGTTTGACTTGAATCTCATATTTAAGAATGTATAAGCCCATCTAAACAAGTATTCTGAATTCTTGCACCCTAATTAAAAATTTGGTTCTAAATGTTTTAGATAAAGCTCAATTTGTAGTAGCTGGAGGACACAGCATTGTCAAGGTACCTGTTGCCAGTGGTAAAAGAATAGAAAATTAATTGCTTCCAAATTTCCGTGTAATCTTTGTGAGCAATTCCACCTGTGTGACACACTGAGCATTGAAGATGACAGGCTGGAACTACAAAAAAAGGATCACTTTGACTTGCCTTGATTTCTGCATACATGACTTACAATTAAGAGGACCTATGTCAGAGAGAAATTCATGCCAACCTTGATTCTTTTACCAATGAGTGGGCTTCTCTTTTTCATTTTTTCCTATTAAGTCATTAATTTTTCTTGTGTTTTTAATTGAAATAGAATTAATCACTTTCTCTCTTCCCTTTCCCCCTCCAGCCCCTCCCAGCTACCATCCCTTGAGTCCTTCTTATGACTTCCCCCATTCTCAAGTTGATAGCCTTTTTCATTATTGTTACATTCATTTGTGCATGCATAAATGTGTATACGTAAATATATTACACACTTCATTTAGTAGTAAATTATTACAAAACAAATACAGATCTAATCAGAAGTTCAAGGCTATTTTAGAGTTAAGTTCCCTAGGGTTAATTTATTTTCTAAATCTACTGTCAGTAGCCCAGTTTCATTTCTTACAAATTACAATAAATCAGTTACAAATTTGCACCTGCCATGGAGTGCTTAGAGTAAGTTCTTTATGCAAATACCATCAACTTGGTTGCTTGCAATGCTAATGTAGATTCCCTTGTGCACCCCTCACAGATTCTGTGAGTTGTGGAGTCCCTTACCCTAAAGTACATCAGTGCATGCTTACTATAGTAGGGAAGTTTTCTTCCGTAATTACACCTCCAGCCAATTTTGCATCAGTGCAACACATTTTACTCACCTACCATGAGTTTTCGACTTTTGTCAAATGGCCTAAATGATGTCCACTCTAGGCTGCATCTAGGGTAAGGTTTTACATTTAGTAGCTCCCTTGATTTAGTTTTCTTTAGTATGGACTATTTCACCAGGCTCTCTTTGCCTTATCATGATACTGGTATATCCTGAAGAGCACAGTATCTCAAAAAGGAAAGTAGTATTCTTCATTTGAAATTTGTTTTTCTTTCTGTATGACTACACTTAGGTTATACATTTCAGTCAGGAATACACAAATGACATAGAAAAACAAAGTTTTACCACATTAGATACTAAAATATAAAAATTCTTTCTATAGTCTCTGTGTTTCATATTGCTTATGAAAATGTTATTCTAATGGTGAAACTGGCCAGAGGGAACTTAAGAGGTTTATATTACTCTTTAATGTGTAATATAGATATAATACCCTTTAGCCTACCTAGCCATGATTCATGTTTGCTGAGAAGAAATTGAGCCTTACTTTTAACAGGTTAAATGGTTCATCTCCCCTCCTTAATCTACCTCAAAGTTAACTCTTGCTTTCTCAAGACCAACCTTTGTTAGTTATGTCAATTTTCTCTCCATTCTATTCTTCTATCCATCTCCTTACCAGCTTCTTTCCTGGACCTCCAGCGTCTTAAGAAACACTACTCACTATTTCAGATATGCTTCTTGCTGCTTTTGTCTTTCCACTTTTGTCTGTTAGTCTTTGAGCTACTAACATTAGGAAGCAGCTACCCTGGGGGCCTTTTCCCTTCCCAGTCTGAGTCTTTCCCTATCCTACAATACCTCAAGCCTAGCACTATCCTGATCACCCTCCTTTTTGAGTTCTGGAGTCATGTCAGTTTATTTGAGACCTCATCTGGAAGCAGCCTAGTCCTTTGGTGACAATCTCTGATTTCTCTTGGAGGGTTTTTTTTTTTTTTACTGGGGGAAAGTTAATGGGAAAGGGGGAGATGGGAGATGGGAGAGGGGAGACTGGCCTCTGGGGACAAGAGCAGCAGAAGAGAAGAGAGAGAGGGTGGGGAGAGGAGGATAGGAAGTAGCCAGGGCCCTTTTAAAAGGGAACATAGTGAATTTGCACAGGTGGTGATCTCAGTGGCTTCAGCTGAGGGCATATCCTGTCAGAACCACAAGGACAGGACAGTATGGATGCCTGAATACTAACAGCATTGGTTGTAGTTTGACCCTCAAAGTTCATGATTTTGAATCTTGACTCCCAGTGTATTGTTGGTGACATGGTGGACACTTTAAGAGGTGGGATCTGATGGGAAAGTGATGAGGTATCCCTATGCTCATGAATAGATTAATGCCCTTTCTTAGGGATGAGTCAGGACTTTCCTGCCAGAATGGATTCTTGGGAGTCTAGAAATTCTCCAGATGCTTTTTGTTATGCATGCACAGTGCCCCCTCCCACTCCCCTCCCCACATTCCTATCATTGTGATGCCAGGTGCCTTGAGGCTTTCTCAACAAGAAAGCTTTTACAGGC